TTATTGAAATGAGTAATTCAAAGCAAACAAATAGGGCTAACTAGTTAGAATATGAAATTAAAGATTCTCTAAGTCCCTTTGTTGTCCTGCAACTCACATTCACACTCAACGAAAAAATATGCAGATAGACACACAAACACCAGGTCACACGGTGGCCTCCAGGTTAGCCTGCTCGGGTGAGGCTGCATGTTGGAAACGCTAGGCAAATGGATGGGCACCGCACAGTGTGACCTCTCGCACTGTGAGGTCATCTGCATCTCCATCATAGGACTGGAATTTTAAAAGTAATTAATCTGTGCATTGAAAAACATGAAGATGATGCTCTGCTTTTAGGTTAATCTCTCTTGACACGACGTTTAAGTTTTTAGCCACCGTGACTGTTATAAAATCTGTCATTATATTGTGTAGAACAAACCCAGACAAATGCTGAAGCTAGGATGTCTTAAGTGCATAGTCTGTAGCTTTCTTGGTAGCCAGAATTTCTTTATGACTATTCTTGACTAGTTCGTCCCATTGGGGTCACTGTGGCAATTAACAGTGACGTAAAAGAAGCACACACATCCCTTTACAATCAGAGTCCCTGAATTTCAGTTTGTTAAAGGGTTGGATTCCAGAATATGAAAAGCCAGCATGAAAAGGAACTAACTTGATGAGTATTTCACTTCTCAATAGTTTTAGTTTATACAGTGACACTCACATCTGTCTTTAATAACTTCAATAGCCTGTTTATTTCTATGCACGCTCCGCAAGCAAAACCAGAATGTGAGCTCAATTTCCTATCCCTAATGGGATAGGATGCCTATTTCCCTTTCCTAATAGTCCAACGTTATTGAGCAATAAGGAAAATAAATTCTGAAAGGAAAAGTGACTTTTTTTTGATATGTTCATTTTCAGTCATTGAAATGAAAATTTTTGCAGATGCATAAAATCTTATTCTCAGTTATTCATTTATTTTTGGGCACTGAAAAGATGTCCAGCTTGTGTCTATCAAGGAGAGAAAAGATAAAAAGCAATAATGCCCAACTTTTGCAAACTCATGACCCAAAGAGAGAGAACAGATACACAAATTCAAAAGCAATATCACGCAGTCTGTCATAAGTATCAAACTATTGGTATTGACATTTAGAGAAACAGAGCAGGTGTAACTAGTAGAAACACAAGGTTCTTGTTGCAGAGTTGTGGAAGCCAAGATTATAAAGACAAGTTTTTAGGAAGATGGCTGAGAAATCTGCTGTATCTGGCCGGGAATCCATAAATGGAGTAAGAGGATGAAGGGGCATTTCAGGAAGTCATCCAGCACTGATGTGCAGATGAATTATATGGGAAGAGAATGTTTGCAGCAGAGCAGCTAAGATGCCATCCCACAGGCATGGAGCAATCAGAAGGCAGTTACGGACATTGCAGGAGGTGAAGTGAGGGATGTCAGGCTCCTCCAAAGAAACAGTCAACTGGATACTGGGAGGTGGAGTGGATGCATGAGAGACCATGCTACCCTGGGCTTGTAGGTCTCTGAGACCTCAGAGACACAATACGGTCTCCACCATGTAGACAGACTCAGCATATAGGAGAAACAGGACAGTCTCCACCGTGTAGACAGACTCAGCATATGGGACAAACAGGACAGTCTCCACTGTGTAAACAGGCTTAGCATATAGGAGAAACAGGACAGTCGCCACCAGGTAGACAGACTCAGCATATAGGTCTGAGCTTAGGGGCAAATGGGCTCATTCTGAAATGGTGGAACTTGTGTTGTTGATGGGAAATTCAAGCTGGAACGCCAGGATGGAGTTGATGGTGGAGGTTGAGTTGGAGACATAGATTGGGAAGTCAGCCTATGGGAGAGTAACCCAAGAGTAACCAAGGAACCAAAGGCAGACAGTGGGGAAATGCTGGGTGCTGTGCATCTGGCTAAATCTCAGGGCTGGGTGGCACGGGGAGGAACAGAGCCAGAGGAGTCCAGGAGACGTGGTGGTGGGGGACGCACACATTTGGTTTGGAGGGATGCTTGGACATGACAGGCAGTTCTCTGGATGCACAGTGGGGTACTCATGGCCATCAGGGGAGAAACAGCTTCCAGGACGACCCCTGCCGCCCACAGTGCTGACCCTATCTGCGCGGTGAGCCCAGCTTCTTCACCAATACGATTATCTTCACAAATTTCACAGCTGGAAAGTAGATAGAGGAACAGTTACCTTTTCCTTAAGATGAGCAAAATAAATGATCTTTAGTACAAAAAAAAATCTTTTTTGGCCTGAGACATGCACAGTAACGCTATAGTCAAACCCCGATGAGACAAGGCAAGTCGGGGATTTCAGAACCCAGTACAATTCTAATCTGTTCTTTGAGAATATGTTTTTGCTGTCACCAGTGACATATCTTTTATTTTTTGGCAAATTGAACTGGGTTTAGTTTTTGTGGTAATTGTAGTATAAAATCATCATTTTTAGATTTATATTTCAAATAGACAAAAATAAATGCGTAATGAACACATGCACATATGCAGATGATGTTTGTATATCTTGATATCACGTCTTACTATTATTTGTTTCTAATGAAGAATTACAAATACACTTGGCCCCTATTTCTCCCTTTCTAGTAGACACTTTCACTAGTGCAGCATTCGCCACTCCCACGCACAGTTTTATTCTTTATCTGCATTTTTGTGTATCTATAAATGTTATATAACATTAATTTAGAGGGTTGTTTTTAAGTTTTTACAGTTTATTACTCCTCTTGAAAGATGCACATGACAACCGTGGCTGAAGTCACGCAGGATCTCCCTTGGCCGCTCTACAGTCTCCTGCCTGCTCTCTGCTGGCACCAGCACCTGCCCCACAGCACCCCCCGCTTCCTCACTCTGCCCTTGCATTCCCTCTGCTGCTTCTTTGAGATCTTTCTGTCCTCAGACAGGCCATGTGTTGAAAGTCTATGTCCAAATTCATTTTTCTTTGCATAATTCCAGGAACCCCAAGTCATGCCTAAGCCAGTGGCCTTGTCACCTCCCAATGGGATATGAATCCACATACGAAGATGACATCTTCCACGTCTTGTGTTCTTCAGTTTAATTAGATCTCACTTGTCAATTTTGGCCAATCTACCCATCTGACAAAGGCCTTATATCCAGAATCTGCAAGGAACTTTAAGCAAATTTACAAGAAAGAAACAACCCCATCAAAAAGTGGGCAAAGGATATGAACAGACACTTCTCAAAAGAAGATATCTATGCAGCCAGCAAACATACGAAAAAAATGCTCATCATCACTGGTCACTACAGAAATGCAAATCAAAATCACAGTGAGATACCATCTCACGTGTCAGAATGGCAATTATTAAAAAGTCAAGAAACAATAGATTGGTGAGGCTGTGGAGAAATAAGAATGCTTTTTCACTGTTGGTGGGAATGTAAATTAGTTCAAGCATTGTGGAAGACAGTGTGGTGATTCCTCAAGGATCTAGAACCAGAAATATCATTTGACTCAGCAATCCCTTTACTGGGTATACACCCAAAGGAATATAAATCATTCTATTATTAAGACACATGAATGTTTATTGCAGAACTATTTACAATAGCAAAGACATGGAACTAACCCAAATGCCCATCAGTGATAGACTGGATAAAGAAAATGTGGTACATATACACCATGGAATACTATGCAGCCATAAAAAGAAATGAGATCATGTTGTTTGCAGGGACGTAGATGAAGCTGGAAGCCATTATCCTCAGCAAACTAACACAGGAACAGAAAACCAAACACTGCATGTTCTCACTCGTAAGTGGGAGTTGAACAATGAGAATACATGGACACAGGGAGGGGAGCACATACACTGGGGCCTGTCAGGAGGTGGGGGAAAGGAGAGGGAGAGCATTAGGACAAATACCCTAATGTATGCCTGACTTAAAACCTAGATGATGGGTTGATGGGTGCAGCAAACCACCATGGCACATGTATACCTATGTAACAAACTTGCACGTTCTGCACATGTATCCCAGAACTTAAAGCAAAAAAAAAAAAAAAAAAGAGTAGTTTTTTAACAACTGCCTTCATTTTTGGCATCATGTTTTCAGCTGTGCCCACAACAGTTAAGTATGTATCCTTAGCTAGTTTGTCTTTCTGTGTCCCACATCTGCATTTTCACCTGCATCTCTGCTATTGTTTTTGTTGGAATGTATTCACTATGAGCTCCCTCAGAAAGATTTAAACACTGGTAAATTTTCAAAATCTGAATCTGAAATATATTATTTTTATCTTATTTTTGTGCTTGTATCAAATTTTAACTAGGTGTCAAATTCAAGCCTTCATATAATTTTTCTAATAACATTTAAAGGCATTATTTCATTCTCACATAGCCATGCCGTCAGTAACTAATTTCATGTCAGTCTGATCATTGCACTTTTGTACGTAAGCTGGTTTCTTCCTGAGTCTATGGCTTTTCTGGAACCTTGGTAACCTGGAATCTCTGTAAGTCATGTGAGGGAGTGGGCATGCTTGGCACCGTGTGGCCTCTTCCATGGGAAACTCAGAGTCTTTGTTTATACAGCAAGTCTTCTGTCATTTCTCTGATCATATCTTCTCTTGTTCCACAGCTGTGAACATGTATGGATCTATCTCCCACTTCTTTTAATTTTTCTCTCATTTTCTTCTTTTTTTTGCATTGTCTTCCGTGAAAACAATTTAGCTCCAGCTTCTAGTGTCCTAACCTATTTTGAAAAATTGTTTTGCAATAGCCATTTCAACTTTAATTTCTTTTTTTATTTATTGCTTATTTGGGGGACAAGTTCTTGCTCTGTCATCCAGGCTGGAGTGCAGTTTCACAATCACAGCTTACTGCTGCCTCGACTCCCCAGGCTCAAGTGATCGTCCCACCTCAGACTTCCAAGTAGCTGGGACCACAAGCGTGTGCCGTATGTCTGGCTAAGTTTTAAATTTTTATTTTTTTTTTGTAGAGACAGGGTCTCACTATGTTTCCCAGACTGGTTTTGAACTCCTGGGCTCAAGTGATCCTTCTGCCGCAGCCTCCCGAAGTGCTGGGATTACAGGTATGAACCACCATGCCCAGCCTGTTTTCTTAATTATTATTGTTTCCTTTATTTTCAAGCACGTGTCAGTCATAGTTCTCAGCATCTGGAAGTATGACAGGTTAGCATGTTTGATGTTTAAAATATTTAATTAATATCTATAGTTCTTTGCTTTTGTTAATTTTATTTCTTAATTGACAAATAATAATTGTATATATTGATGGGCACAACCTGATGTTTTGATATATGTTTACACTGTGGAATAATTAAATCAAGCTAATTAACATATCCATCCCCTCGCATACTTATCATTTCTCTTTCAGCAATTTTGAAAGGCACAATGCATCATTATTTATAATCACTTTCTGTGCAATAGATCACTAAAGCTTATTTCTCCCGTCTAACCAAAACTGTTTACCCTTTGACAGACATTTCCCCTTTTCCCACCCAATCCTCCCGCCCCCACCCCCAGCTTCTGATCACCTCCCTTCTAATCTCTACTCCTATGAGTTAAACTCCTTTAGATTTTTCATCTGAGCGAGATCATGCAGTATTTGTCTTTCTGTGCCTGGCTTATTTCAGTTACCATAATATCTTCCTGGCTCACCCATGTGGTAGCATGTGACAGGATTTCCTCCTTTTTTATGGCTGAATAGTATTATTACATGGTGCCATTGTATCACATTTTTCTTGATCCATTCATCTGCTGATGGACGCTTACACTGATTCTGTGTCTTGGCTATTGTGCATAGTGCTGCAGTGAACACAGGCATGCAAACACCCTTCCGCATACTGATTTCAATCCTTTGGGTCTATACCCAGAAGTTGGATTGCTAGACCATATGGTAGTTCTATTTTTAGTTTTTTGAGGAACCGCTGTACCGTTTTTCATAATGGCTGTATTTACTAACCCATTTTTTAATCCGGCTCTTCCTGCTATTAGAACCTTCTACTGAAGTTTTTGTTTGTTTTTACGTTCATATTTTAAATTCATAATATATTTGATAAATTAACTTTCATATCATCTATTTGTATGCATGAGCTATCCTTTCCAGTTTCTCTGAATGTATTTTTTAAATATTGATTTTGGCACGTTTCTTCATATTGTTTGTTTTCCCCAACACTGAATGATCCTCTCCCTTGTTGTGGATACGGCTTTCCGGACGAGGCTGTGGGTTGAGCAGATTTCACTGTGGGAATAGGTTCTCCTTGCAGGGAGTGCAGGGGCCCAGGCTCAGGCTGTTTACGGGAGCAGTGAGAGGGGAATGGGGGTGGCCCCATGAGCATCCGTCCATTGAAGGGTGTTAGGCTTCTGGGTGCAGGAACGCCCTCTTCGTGACGGCTGTGACTTTGCCTGAGCACAGGATTCACAAGTCACAAAAAGATATTTGCGGATCTTACCTAAATGGAAACGCCGAGGCCAGCAAGTTCGGAAGCAGGACCCTACTTTGTGATTAATCACTGATGTAATGAGACCCTGGGCTCCTTCTTCCAGCCTGTGATGTCTCAAATTCTATTTCTATTCTCACTGAATTCCATGGGAAAAGCCACTTTCCCCCAGGTTCTTTCTGGCCTGGATGGGACTGCTGACTCTTTGGTTTTCATCCTCCAGACGGTTCCATTCAGTCCATTCAAGAGATATCTTCCAGTGATTCCTTACTGCTCTGCTCTGCGGGTGGAAGCCTTCCGAAACTCAAATTTTAAACATTTCTTTTGTCATTTCAATGGGATTTGAGGAAGCAGGAAAAGTGAACACATGCTAATTCAGCCACCTCTTTAAAGGCTTCTCTTTTATTTTTCTCCATATCCTCTTCTCTCAGCACCAAAGTCTACTGGAAGACCTGCTCCTTCAAAAACATCTCATACTTGGGGTCATTCCTGCCAGCCCCAGCGCACTAGTCTGTGTGCACAGAGTGACACACTGGTATGACAAAGATGTATTTAAATTGCCCCTCAGCCTCGCAACCCCTCCCCATCTCTACTGATGCTCAGCTTGAATGTCTTTTAAAGATCTGCTGGGAATATCAATACCCTTTTTTCCTTTCTTGAGTTGCAAACTCTTCAGATCTGTAATTTCAACCCTATCTTGTCTCAAAAATTGTAAAAGTTTCTAATTGAATGATAGTTCACTTTTAATTTTTCTAGCAGTGCTATGTACTGATCTATTCCCATTTTTATCTTTTTCTAACATTTCCATGTTAGCTCTCAATAAATATCAGCTATAATAATCTCAGGATCAGATCTAGCAATTATTGAGTGTTTGTTACTTACCAGGCACTTCTCTAAGTGCTTTACACATATTAACTCATTTAATTGTCTTATCATCTTCAATCTTATAAGGCATTATTGAGAGGCCAAGTGATGAGTTCAAGGTTATAAAAGCTACTAAGTACAGACTTGGGATTTGGAGAGAAGAATTATTAACACAGTCTGCAATCTTAAACAGAAAACCTTTTATATTTTCATTTTATTAATAATTATACACATCATTTTTCCTTTAAAGTTTTCTACTGTCTACAATTATTCCTCAATAATACTAATAAAGTAATACATAGAGTGAGAGAGTATAGTCATAAGCTGACCCCACTGGGTACCAGTTAGGATTAGTTTAGCTGCATGTAACAGTAAAACTTTAAATAATAGTACTCTGAACAAGATCAAAGTTACACAAGATCAGTTAATCAGGCTGTTAATTGTGTCCTCTAAAAAGACATGTTGAAGTCCTAATCCTCAGTAGCTCGCAATGTGACCTCATTTGGAAGTAGGGACATTGCAGATGGAATTAGTTAAGATGAAGTCATGCTGGAGTAGAAGGGCTCTTAATGTGATATGACTGGTGTCCTTTTATAAAGAGGGAGATTTGGACAGGACACAAACACACGGGCAGAACAGTAGGTGACCATGGAGACAGAGACTGGGGTGATGAGTCAACAGCCAAGAAACACTAAGAATGCTGGCAAAGGCCAAACACCAGGAGGGGCAAAGAGAGCTTCTCCTCTGTGGGCTTCAGAGAGCACGTCCATGCTGACTTTCTGCTTCATGATTTGTGCTACTTTGGGTGACTTTGCCATATTCTAGGGCTTCACTCTCTTCTCATCCCCATTCAGCTAGTAGATAGGAAAAGAGAGGTGGTGGAGGAGCCCTTAGGAGATTTTTGGAAGCCAGGCTTGAACTGGTAGCCACCAAGTTTATTTCTTCCTCTAGGAAGAACACACATATAAAGTCCATGGTTAGGTATGGCAGCCCCATTATGTCACTGGCCATCTTTCTGGTCTTCTGCTCAGTGTTCATAAGGACTGGCTTCCATCCTCAGGTTACCTCATGGTGAAAGGTGGCTGCCTGAACTCCAGCTATCACGTTTGTGTTGCAAGCCACAAGCAGGAGCAAAAGCAGAACAACTAAAGAGCTGTGCCTCTGGCTGAGTCAGCTTCCTGTAATCCCCCCTCTGGAAGTTCATTTAACATTTCTACTCACATCTCACTGGGCTTACTCATAGAACTGCACTTAACTCCAAAGAAGGCTGACAAACATCCTCTTGTAGCGGGTAGCCAGGTGTCTTGCTAAAACAAGAGACTACTGGGAGAGGAGGAGCAATATGGTTTGGATCTGTGTGTGTCCCCACCCAAATCTCATGTTGAAATGTAATCCTCGGTGCTGGAAGTGGGGCCTGGTGGGAGGTGATTGGATCATGGGAGTGGTTTCTAATGATTTAGCACCATCCCTTTGGTGCAGTTCTCCTGAGAGAGTACTAACGGGATCTCATTGTTTAAAAGTGTGTTGGCACATCCCCCGTCCCTCTCTTCCTCATGTCCTGGCTGTGTAAGACGTACCTGCTTCTCCTTCACCTTCTGCCATGACTGTAAGTTTTCTGAGGCTTCCCCAGAAGCTGAGCAGATACTGGCACCATGCTTCCTGTACAACGTGCAGACCATGAGCCAATTAAACCTCTTTTCTTTATAGATTACCCAGTCTCAGGTATTTCCTTATAGCAGTGTGAGAACAGACTAATACAGAGAGAATGGATACTGAGGGGCAACCAGCAGCCCAGATCTCCACTACTAACAGTTTTTACTTCCCTGGCACAATTTCCCAGGAAAGCAACAGCCTTGTGGGCAGGCTGAGCTGTTCTGCTGGATCTGAAGTTAAGCTGATTTGGGTTCTTTCTCCCTTGGTAAAGTGCCTTAACTCTTAATTGACTTACTATCATCAGTCCATAAGTCAGTAAAAATAACTCATGTAATAATTTTTGAATAAATTGAACCAACTAGAACATTCTTGCTATAAGTCATATGTTGGCACTGTTTTTGCCCAGAGAGTAGGTGGTATAATGTCCTAGAATAATTAACTGGTCTAGTGATACACTGATCCTATATCAAAGCCTCAATCACAAAAAGAAGATTTTTAAAATTCCTTGAAACTTTATTAAGTAAGATAAATTAATTATAAACATTACAAAGCACTTTTTTTGAGACAGAGTCTCCCTGTGTCACCCAGGCTGAAGTGCAGTGACGTGATCTCAGCTCACAGCAACCGCTGACTCCCAGGTTCAAGTGATTCTTGTGCCTTAGCCTCGCTGAGTAGCTGGGATTACAGGTGTACCCCACCACACCTGGCTAATTTATCTATTTTTAGTAGAGATGGGGTTTTACCATGTTGGACAGGCTGGTCTTGAACTCCTGGCCTCAAGTGATCCTCCTGCCTTGGCCTCCCAAAGTGCTGGGATTAAAGGTGCGAGCCACTGCGCCCAGCCCCAAACATGATTTTTTTGATTCAATAATGAAAGTCTTTCTTTTTTTTAACATGCTCTTCATTAGCTTAAAGTTTTAGAAGTTGTGGGTTTTCACTAAGTTCTTTTTAATTTAAAATCAATGCTTTCTTTTTTTCCTAGTAAAAGTAGAAGAGTAGAGACAGATTTACAGTAATAATAAGAGTCTTGCCCCTTGCCTGGCTCTTCAGCCCCAAGTAACCATTCCCGACCACGCTTGGGCACGCTACCATATATGTACGTGTATTTGCACACA